TTTTTTTTTTTTGTAGTACCAGGGATTGAACTCAGAACCTTGTGCTTGCCAGGCAAGCACTTATTCTACTGGGCCATCTCCCTGGCTCCATTGCTTTTCTAATGAAAGCAATAGATAATATAAAAATGTATTAAGTCAGAGACCATTTCAGAGAGTCACATGAAAACTTCAAACATTATTCTCTGGTTTTTTGGAGGAAAAGTAATCAAAATCACAGTAGAAAAACAACTAGGTGGGGTCTGGAAAAGAAGAAAAAGTAGGAAGAAGGAAAGGAAATAGCTGAGAAATACTGTCACTGAAGTCAGGGCACCAAACCCATAAATATGTCAGAGAGGGTCGGAGGAGAATCTGATGAAGGGGAGGTTGTACATAAAGGATCAGGTAGCCTGAATGCTCGTCCCTGTTCACCAACTCGCTGTCTTTGTGAGTTCCAACAAAGAACTTATCTTCTTTTGTCCTCATTTTTCTTATCTAGAAAATAAGGGGCCCTTTAAAGAATGCTTCCACCGTGAGTGTTGAGACGTCCTCATCATCCGTGGGTATCTACTGGTTGGCAAACTTCAGTTTGTAGTTGCCTGTCTCCGCTACCTGACCCATTCTTTTCAGGCTCTTCCACGGCAATTGCAAAGCTATTGATGCAGGAGCAAACATGTCACGGAAAAGAGCATGAACGTGAGAACAGTATTGTTGTGAGGGGTTCTGTTGGATGAGCTGAGAGTCATTGATCCCGAGGTAGACTTTCTTAACTGGCTGATAATTGTAAACTGGGACTCCTTATCTGGCAGAGTTTTGCGCAACTCTTAGAATCCCGTTCTTTACCCAGGTATTCCCATGAGATTATTTGAAGGTAGGATGACTTTGCTGACTCTTTAAGGATTTGTTAAGAGTGAGCTGGTGATTTTGGCCAGATTTTAATTCTTTTTCTTTAGAGAAGAGGATTAGCTAACAAAGTGTTTTGTGTACTGAGTCGGTCATGGCTTAATTACTGTGAATTGACTTACGGCTTAAGTGTGCAGCTGATAGGAGCTACGGAACCCAGGATTGGATTTATAAATCAGATACACCCCAGAGAAACAATGTGTTAGAGACCTGAAGAACAGTTTACCTCTCTCTCAGCACTCTTGCCCTTCCACATAAATGATTAAGAAGTGAAAAACAAGGGAATTAATAATGCTGGGGGGTGCATATCACCGGTGTGAGTCAGCGCAGTGCCTTGGGGGTATTTTGGGTTAAATGTCAGGGAGTGACCAACGAGGGTGACAAGCAGTGATTTAGGCTCAAGTCTGCTGGTATATGGAGGGCTTCTGGGTAATTCACAGACTCTTTCAGGATCTCTATTGCCTTAGTTGTCTGCAAAAGAGGTTCCAGGTGAGACTGTCACCCTGGCTCGGACAGTTGCACTTGGTACATCCCTCATTCTTGGTCCCCTGCTTGAAATTTCCTGAAATTGTCATCTGTCTTACTGCCTGTTTCCAGGCTTAGTGCCATTATTTTCTCCTCTCCAGCAGCCCAGCAAAAATCTTGAGGCATATGATCATAAAATTTGCTCTGCCTCTCTTCCCCTAAAGAATGATGTGGATCATTTTTGAAATATTTTAGTGGTAAAGAATGTATTACAAGTGGTGGCTTAAAACAGGGTTTTTGTTTATTTTGTTTTGGTTCTGTGGATCCTTTCAGAGTTGAAAGAAAATATGCGGGCTTTCTCATTGATGAGTGTCACGTGTGTGAGGGCCAGGGAGTTCTTGGACTTTCAAGACCCAGAAGCCAGCCTGAGAGCCCAGGATCAGGAAAACTAGCAATGTTTGGTTTATGCCTTTGGGTATTACTGTTGATTTCTTCAGGACATGCCTCAGGACATGGACCTAGGAGGGACATAAAGAACCCAAGCACACTCACCCTGAAGAATGACCCAGTAACTGCAGCATCCCAGTTGTGAGCCAGCTCAAGACATAAATTCCTTCTTCAGATAGAAGCATTTGCTGGAGGCAAGCTGTGTCCTGTGATGAGTTCTGTGGCCCACTGAAATGGAAAATAACTGTGAAATTTGTTTCTAGAGTAAAATGGGAACAAGTCTTTTAGCTCTTCTTTGTACTATGGTACTAGTAATTTTGGCATCCTCCAAGTTTCTCTGAGCAGGATACTGTCTGCATATAGAAGTTCTTAAGTAATGGGGTGTGGTGGTGCATGCCTATAATCCTACCACTTGGGAAAATTTGAGCTCAGCCTAGGCAACTTAGTAAGACTCTGTTTCAAAAAAAATAAAAAGGGTTGGGTGTGGTAGAATTCTCCTGTATTAGATAATTAGTATTGAACAAACAATCAAATAAATAACAAACAAAAACCTCTCAGGTTAGGGTAGTAGAGTAATTCTGCTTATGGTAGAGTTCATTTCATAGAGATACCATTTTCATAAGTCACTATTGTATTTGCCTCCTTTTTTAATCTCCATACATTCATGTTTGTCTTCTTAGAAGATCATTCTGGGAGTGACCAATTACTGGATACATCTAGTATGTGGAACACTGGCATCATTCCTTTAGTTTGTCCTGGGCTCAAAGCATTTCCTTATCAGACTTGTCGCAATTTGGACTGCTAACGGCATTTGTTTCCCTTTGATTTTGAATGGAATTTGGGCATTTTAAAATTGGAAATAAACAGGGGCTGGCCAGATAGTACAGTGGACTAGAGCTCCTGCTTAAGCAGAGCGTAGCAGCCTGGGTTCATTCCTGCCGCCCCCGGGGAGTGCTGAGACTGGCCCTGATGGAGCGCGTTTGTAATTCCAGCACTCAGGAGAATCACTACTAGTGGGATCTACATAGTGAGACCCTGTAAACCCTGTAGACTCTGTAACAAATCTAAAAAGAAAAAGAAAAGGAAAAAAAGAAAAGAAAAAAGGAAAATGAAATTAAAAAAAAGAAAAAAATAGAAGTAAACAACATCTTTCTTTGAGTTGTAAAAAAAATATACAAGTAGAGGAAAGGGGAGAAAGGACTCTATTTTGGACATAACAACTATTCCTCTGTCATAAAAAGGGGGAAAACAGACCCAGAGCATCAAATTTAACTCTCTCTCTCTTTCTCTCTGATGCAAGATCTCACTATGTAATCCAGGCAGGCCTTCAACTTACTAGTCGAGGCTGCCCTTACATGAAGTGATTCTTCTGCCTTGCTGAATGCTTTGATTATAGGCATGTACTGCAAAATGTGGTTCAGATTTCCTTCCTCTAATCTCTTATTTCGCTGCTCCTCTCCCTCATGCCCATGAACTCTATTCATTGTTGAGCACATTAATCATCTCTGGTTTGATACAGTTTGTGAAAGCAGGCTATTCTTTTATGGAAATCACCAACATTTGAGTATTTTCTGCTCAGAATTTAAACGACATATAATTGACAGTTTCAGAAAAGAATACAATTTGGTTTGCACTTTAAGGCTTTTCATTAGCAAGTTTTCAGGAAATCTAAAAGTGGATAAAGTAGTACAGTAACTTACATGTCCTGCCGTCCAGCTTTAGCGGTGGTCAGTGTCAGTTCAACTTTTTCTCATATACACATTCATCTCTTTGCCCTGGAATTACATTGAAACAAATTCCAAACCTATGATCTTACATGTAAGTATTTCATATATTAAAGATAGAGGAACATTTGTAATCTTAATTCCAATATCAACGCTTTACAGCTGGGGAGATAGCTCAGTGGAATAAGTGTTTGCCTAGCAAGTGCAAGGTCCTAAGTTTGATCCCTGGTACCACCAAAAAACAAAACAAAAACAAAAACAAAAAACAAAAACAAAAACAAAAAAAACCCACTTTACAAATTAACAGTTGTTCAATATTAAATGTTGTGGTTCATAGAAGGTCTATGCCTTGAAGTTGGTTAATATATCACTTAAGCTTTTGGCCCATAGCTCTCTCCTCTGCCTTCTTCTTGCCATTTTGGTCATTGTTGTGTTGTTTGTTCATTTTTTATTTTGTTTTTCCGAGACAGGGCTATGTAGTTAAGGCAGGCCTTGAACTCACTGTGTAGCCCAAGACAGCCTTGCATGCACTCTGACACAATCCTCCTGCCTCAGCCCTGAGTGCTGGGATTACAGGTGTGCACCACCATGCCCAGCTGTTGTCATGTTGAAGAAATCAAGCTGATTTCTTCTGTCTAGATCTTGTGTGTTATATGGTTTCCTATGATCTGGGTTTCACTTATAATCTGTTATTTTTAAGAAAATAAGAATAAAACAAGTATGCTTTTTTTTTTTTTTAAAAAAAAAGGATTCATTGTGTGCAGATTTTTTTTTTTTTTTTTTTTTTTTAATGCTGAAAATTATCTACGGCATTTAAAACTTGATTGGCCAGGAAAATCCAGATGTCAGGTGACTTGCTTTTAATTTTTTTCCTACTCTTTGTGGGAAGATACCTTGGCAGATCACATGCTGTGGTGTCACTTAAACCACTACTGAAATGCACCCTGGCCCACCTAGACTCGCCAGCCATTCCTCATCAGTAACACCATTTATTCTGGGCAGAGACTCGGAAAGGCAGTTTTTCCTGTTGAGTCTGCAGTGGGAAGAAGCTGGGGCTGTATGCCTCATGCACTTTGGCCTCAATTTTTCTTGCTCCTTATTTGCTACAAGGACCCCTCTTTGAAAGACTGTTTATTCCAGTAGAAATAGGATCACTGCATCATCTGGATCGAAAGGCTTCCTGAGGTCACCTGGCCCACATGGCCACCTTATCACTGGATTCCAGCAAGGTTCCCAGAACAAGACTGCTTGCTGACAGTGCTCATAGATAAAAGCCATTAGCATTCTAAGACTTTCTCTCTTCTGTTGTTCAGTGAGATACATTATTAAATGTCCTCTCTTTCTGCTGAGTGCACATACATGGGTCTGCACAGGTCTTTAAGATTGATCTTGATTTTTCCCTGCTGTCGTCTTCAGCAATTTTGGATTGGTTATGAATGGGTGATTGATTTTATGGGTAAATTTCGAAGTATGAGTAGATGACTGGGGATTGTGAGTTTAGTTAGGGGATGTGTGGTGGTTAATTTTGTACCATCTCAGCTGGGCTGCAGGGTGCCAAGATAAATGGTCAAACACTTTCCTGGGTGTTTCTGTGAGGTTGTTGTGGATACAGTTAACATTTGAATCAGTGGACTAGGAGTGAAGCAGGTTGCCCTTCAGAATTGGGTGGGCATCATGCAATCAGCTGAAAGCCTAAATAGGACCAAGACACCGAATTGAACTAAAGCACTGATCCTAAGGAGGGCGGATCTCCTAGCAGATGGCCTTTGGCTAAGAGCTGTGCGCTTTCTGGATCTCCAGCCTGCTGGCCTTTGTACCGGAACTACGACGTCAGCTCTCCCGGGTCTCCAGCCTGTAAGCTGACTCTACAGCTCTGGCCTCTCCAACCTCCATAATTGCAGAAATGAATTCCTCCTGTCTCTTTCTAAATCGGTTGGTTCTGTTTTTCTAGAAAACCTTGCCTAATAGCATGTGTGTGTGTGTGACAGGTGTACGGCCAGGATTTATTTGGCTGTCTGGTTTTGAAGTGGCATTTTACATTAAAGACATACGAAGATCATTGGAGAGGTCTTCAGAAAATGAGATTCTGGCCACAGCTCTGTTAGCAACCTAGCTTTTGTTCTCTAATTCCAGTACTTTCCCTCTCTCAGCTTCAGTTTTTTCTCCATAAAAAGAGTTTGAGTTGGGCCGGGGAGATGGCTCAGTAGAATAAACGCTTCCCTGGCAAGCGCAAAGACCTGAGTTCAATCCCTGGTTTCGCCAAAAAAAAAAAAAAAAAAAAAAGGGTTTGAATTAAGAGATTTTCAAGGCCTACAAGCCCATTAAATACAGATATTGATCATTTGAGCTAGTTGCTGAGAAGGTTTCTAAGATGACTCTTCTGGGAACTGTCTATGATGTCCCTTCGTGCATAGGGAAACAAAAAACCAAAAAGCTGATGTAGTAAAGTATTGGTGGTGGTACAATGAGAAACAAAGGGGCTAGAAAAATACAAGATGGCAGAAGGAATTCCTGTGTATCAGGAAAATGTTCTAATCAGTAAAATATAAAATATGGACAAGTCATTGCCTATGTGACCTTTACCTTTTGTAGTTTTTCATGTGAGGGCTTGATAGTCTAATTTTGAGGGCACTTAGGATCTGTTTCTTTTCTCTCTCTCTTTTTTCTTTTTCTTTCTTTTTTTTTTTTTTTTTTTGGCAGAACCGGGGATTGAACTCAGGCCCTTGCTCTTGCCAGGGAAGCACTTATTCCACTGAGCCATCTCTCCGGTCCCCAAGGATCTGTTTCTGCATTACATTAATTCTCATTTTGTAAGGAGTTGAGTGGTTTTGGTACTGGAGGCTTGGAATTTGTGACGAGTGGAGGCCCTCAGGTGAACCCAGTGGCCCTAGCCCAATCAGTGGAGAGGAAATACCTGACCCCGAGGACAGTGCGCTCTTACTGACCACAGAGGTTGGAAAGAGTCTCATTGGTGCTAAGCCTAGCACAGTGATTTCTCTGAAGCCTTCTTTCTCATGGTTTTGTGGTGCTGCAGACTGAATCCAGGGTCTTGCACATGCCTGGCAAGCTTCTTCCTCTTTTTTCAATGCAGGCTTCCCTTTCCAGGTAGAAAAGCAGTAACCACAAGACAGAAACCGGATTATTTTAGCATCTGTGTCTGGAGAGTGGTCAGCATTTAGCTGCAGTAATCTTTTGGTGTTCTCTGTCTGGAATTAGTGTTCACCTCAGGCAGCGGTCTGCCTCTGGGGAGGCTGATCTCTTGGTTTGGGTGTGCTGCGTCTGGGACAGGAAAACCAGCTGAGGGCAAAGAAGGCCAGCTGCCCTCTTCAGATGCAGACACATTCCGTATAAGGTCATTGCTCCTTGCTCAATAATAGAGCCAGTCCCTGCAAAAGTAAGGCAGCTTTCTTTGCCCTTTTGGATTCTTTGACCTTATTTAATTCACCATTAGGATGCCAGATCATGATGGC